AAGCACAATAAACACCTTATACATATATCAATTATTTTTTGCCTACTTCCACTTTCAATTCACATTTTTTACTTTTTAGATTATTCTCACTTTTTGTGTATTCTTTAGTTTCCGTTAATTTAAATTCAGTTGAGTTTGACACTTTTCAAGATTTTGCCAGCAAAAATTCTTCTGACTAAATTTTTTTACTTCGGAATGAAGAGAGTCACTCTCACTGAGTCTTGCTCTCTCATTTTTGCTGTCATTTTCGAGTTAAGGAACGCTTTTTGGACTAAATTTGACTACTTCGGGCTTTTTCGGACTATTTCTGGGAGATGAGGAACGCAACTAGTGATAGTGAAATTGAATTTTCAGTGTCACTACGGTTAGCGGTAAAGGAAGGACGAAAATTTCGCTTTGACTAACTAATTACACCAGTTTACAAATTTAGGAAAATTTGGCGATCTATGATTTTAATAACAATTTCCTTACAACAGGTTTGTTTAAAAATTTATAGCCACTAGCTATGTTGAAATGCATTTCCACTAAGTGCATAGTGGTACTGAAACCAACTTGTCACTACCACTATGCACTTAGTGGTAATGCAATTCAAATTTCAGTACCACTGGGTGCTCAGCGGTAGTGAAAAAATTTTCCCTACTACTCTATGGTTAGTGGTAGTGACAAATTTTTTCCACTACCACTATGCACTTAGTGCTAATGCATTTGAAATTTCACTACCACTGCACGAATAGTGGCGATGCTATTATCAGTGCATTACAAATTTAATGCATCGTGCCCAACCCTGACCATTATGCATGCTTACATATCGTCCCGCTTCCCGTATGAAGAAGGCCAAACTCTAGTGAAAACTTTTATTAAAGAGCAAGCTCAAATTTTTGGAAATATAAGTAAAGTAGCCTTCATATTATTATCCTCGCCGCACTCACATGCTTTAGTTGAGCGCGTTTTTTCCGTAGTGAATTCAACAAAAACTAAGATTCGAAATGGGATGAGGTTTGAAAGTCTTAATTCAATAGTTCAAATAAAGTGTTATTTGAAGGCTAATAGTTTCTGCTGCAAAACGTTTACTGTTTGATACGGTATGTTTTCAAGGTTGAATAGCTGAATATATGACAACAACCGAAATGTAAATTATTCAGACACTATAGGTGATTTTGAAGAAATTGTGAAAATATGTAGCTGATCTCGCCTTATTATAGGTTTTTATTTTATTTTTAGCGCCGAGCTCTTAAAAGCGGATTTTGCGATTAATCAATTAATGGGAGTTATAATAAATTTAATAATTGCGCAGTCCTATTGCAAAATGGGTTGAAACAAACATTTTTAAAAAGTATGCGTATTTTTAAAGAAAATTGTTTGTACATCATTATTATATGAGTGATTTGTGTTATTTATTATTACCCTCTAAAGGTATTATATTCGTTTTTGGTTTTAAAAACTATATTATTGCAAAATCTCATTTTTAAAATAAAAGATTTGTTAAGTCGATTTCATGAATTTTACTAAATAAAAATAAATCGCGATTTTTGGTGATTTTTTTTTTCAGAAATTGCGCTTTTTTCTTAACAATCTGGACACCCTGGTTGAGACTGTCTGATGCGCAAAATGACTTTATAATTAAAACTTTTGCTGTTTTTTATATTAAAAGAAATATAACTTGATCCTTTTTACTTTACATTGATCTCTTTTGTGAAGTTCAGGAGAAAATTTAGTCCTTTTTTGATACACTTACATATAGAAACTACATAAAATAGAAGCACATGTGAAATATATTGAATAAACAATGTTTTTGAGTTTTATGGACCTGAAAGTTGTTATATTATTAAGTTCAAATATCAAATGCATAAGTATATATTTTATATATGTATAAAATTTAATTTACTTCTATTTTTAAAACAATGGTGTGTCAACATAAATGCCACCCGATGCACTAAACAATCTTTTTGAGTTTACTGGGGAAGGTGGTTCGCAGAGATTAAATTATGGTTAGTACTCTAGGGTTAAGTTGGATGTAAAATATGAATCTGTTTGCATATGTACAGGTTTTAGATTCTACTGTTTTATGTCACGTTAACGTGCATTATAACCATTTGCATTCATTTCACATACGATAGAATATAATAGATGATTAGATGACAGCTCACACCGTTCCGTCACTTCAATTATAACCCGGTCCTAAGAATCCGTACATACAAATGTATGCAAACTTGCTTTTACGTTGTCTTGCAATTTCATTGCCTCAGAC